TGCGGACCCACCTGGTTCAGGAACTGGACTAGAGACCGCCACAGAGGCCCTGGCTTGATTCTGACATTCCGCTGCCAAACATGCCATCTTGAAGCCAATTCAGCTCCAGAGAAAGCTCGCTTACTCCCCCCACCACCCCCACGAGGATATACAGAAATGACAGTCAGGAGCTGGTCATTTCTGTATATATTATAAGAGAAATGAGACTATGCCTTTATAATAATAATAATCCTTGCATTTGATGTAGGGCTTTTCACATCTTCGAGACGTCTCAAAGAGCTTCACAGAATATGCTGTAAAGTGAATTGACTGTATATTTGTGGGCAAAACCCAGCAGCCAATTGCACACAGTAGTGTCCCACAAACAGTCGTGGATTGAAAATGACCAATTTATTATTGTTTTGTTTTGGAGGGATTATTATTAGGCTCTGTGCGGAGTAAGGAAACTTGCCCAAGGTTTCGCCCTCTGCCTGGAATTGAACTCAGGTGTCTCGCTTGCAAGGCGAGTGCTCTAATCACTGAGTTACAGGACTCCACAAGTGACTGACCCACGGAGTCAGGAAACATCACACCAACAGCACAGCAGGACTCCAGGCTGGCGCTCCAGAGCAGTACTCCAGGGAGCTGGGAGAGCGCTGCATTGTCAGAGGTGTCGTCCTACAGATCAAATTAAACTGAGGTCCTGTCAGCGCTCGGAATGTTAATCACAGCCACTACTCGAAATGGAGTTTCACTCCCTGTGTCCTGGCCAATATTCCCCCAGAGAAAATCAGTCATTCACTTCATGGCTTCAGGTGGGATATTGCTGTGAACACTTTGGCCGCCACATTCACCCACAAAAAACAGTCTCCACACTCAAAATTGCTTCTCTGTGAAGGTCTTTATAAAAGTTTAACGTCAAATGCAAGGATTATTATTATTTATCATAAAACGTCAAACGCATTATCAAATGAAATAGCATTACTGAGGAAATGCCAATCAGTAATTGCAGAATTAAATTCTGCTGCCCACGATCCTGTACTGTTGTCTAGCTCCCAACTCTCAGTGGTGAGAAGAGTGTGAGTGCACCCTGGGTAAGGTTGAGGCTCACTGTCAGAGCAGGAAGATGTACAGCATTTACCAGCAAAGCCCAGTGTAACATAGGCTCGCAGAGACCCCCCAGTGTCCAGCATCAACTGTGCAGCCAGATCCGGGGAGGGGATGGAAGCCATCATTTTTGATGTATAAAGATTTGTGGGCACTTTCCCCAAAAGCCAATTTGCGATCTGGCCTGGGAATGGTATGGTACTAGGGTGGGCCTGACTGCACTTTGATGTTCTGTAGGAATGCACACCACTTAGCAACCCTCACATCAAGCAGGAGCTGTTTATTTCTGCACAGCTGTAATCTGAATGAAACAAATTATGGAAACATTCTGGCATGGTCACAGGCACTATTAATAGCTTGAGCATTCCTCCAGCAATAACACATCCAAGAAACTGTCCCGGCCAGAATACAAACATTCCGCTCTGACTCAGGGACAGCTTCTCCCAGCTACATACATCTGTATATAAGACGCAGCAAACCTCATTCACATGATACTCAGGATCCCACAGACACCCACACTGAATGCCCTCCAGCATTGATCAGCCTGGTGTTGAGCCCAGGTTAGGGCTTTGAGGCTGTGTGTGAGTGTGAGGCTGTGGGTCTCATAGAATCATACAGCACAGAAGGCGGTCATTCGGCCCAAACTTAGAGAATCATAGATTAGGGTCTGTGTGTGAGCGTGAGGCGGTGGGTCTGTGTATGAGTGTGATGCTGTGTGTGAAACCACCAAAACTCTCACCCACAATTTCAACACATCAAGGCTCGAGTGTGTGAGGCTGTCTGTGAGTGTGAAGCTGTGGGTCTGTTTGTGAGGCTGTCTGTGAGTGTTAGGCTGTGTGTGACGCTGTGTGTGAGAATGAGACTTTGTGTGAGTGTGAGACTGTGTGTGAGGTTGTCGATGAATGTGAGGCTGTATGTGAGGCTCTTTCAGACATCGTCCTGGATGAGAGACAACTTTCTGCAGCTGAATGTCAGCACGACCGAGGCCCACCTGAGTGGCTCACACCAGGGCCTCCATACCTCAGGCAGTGGCAGCATCAGCATCCAAAGATGCAAACTCCACCTCACCAAGCCAGGAACCTGGGTGTCTTGTTCGACCCTCAACTGTCCTTTCTCCCCCATATATGTGTCATGATCCGCTCCGCCTTCCCCCACCTCCGCAACATTGTTCAACTCCACCACTGCCTCACCCCTCAGGCTGCCGAAACCCTCATCTATGCATTCGTCACCTCAAGGCTCGACTATGGAAACTCCCTCCTTAGCGGCCTCCCCAACTTTTCCCTCCACAAGCTGCAGATCATCCAGAACTCTGCAGCTCGTGTCCTCTCCCACACCAGGCTTCGTGACCCCATCAGCCCTACCCTTGCCTGGCTCCACTGGCTCCCCATCCCCCAGAGGATAGAATTCAAAATCCTCGTCCTCACTTTCAAAGCTCTCCATGGCCTTGCCCCCTCCTACCTCTCTGACCTGCTGACCTCCTATCAATCTGCCCATTCCCTCCATTCAGTGGACTCCATCCTGCTCCATGTCTTCCGCCTGACCCACCATACCATTGGCGGTCGGGCTTTCAGCCTCTCTGGCTCTACCCTTTGGAACTCCATCCCAGAATCCCTTTGCCGTGCTCCCTCCCTTGCCTCCTTTATGGCACGATTCAAGACCCTCCTTTTCGACTGTGCCTTCAGCCTCCTACCTCTCTGCCCTCCCTCATCCCAACCATGGCCCCTCAAGCAAGATAGATAGATTTCTTATTGCAAAAGGGATTAAGAGATATGGGGATAAGGCAGGGTTAGGTTATTAGCTGGAGTTGGATTAGAAGATCAGCCTTGATTGAATGGCGGGGCAGGCTCGAAGGGCCGAATGGCCTACTCCTGCTCCTACATGTTATGTTATGTTAAGCTCGGGTCCTGATCCCCAAATGTTCAGCACCTTGTGACGTCCTGCCAACGTGAAAGGCGCTTTACAAATGTAATTTTGTTGTTGTTTTGTGTAAGTGAGAGGTTGTGTGACTATGAGGCTTTCTGTGTGTGAGAGGCTGTGGGTCTGTTTGTGTGTGTGTGTGTGTGTGTGTGTTTGAGAGAGAGACTGTGTGAGGTTGTTTGTGAGTGAGGTTGTGTGATGCTGTGTGTGAGTGTGAGGCTGTGTGTAAGGCTGTCTGTGAGTGTGAGGCTGTTTGTGGAGCTCTGTGTGAGTGTGGGGCTGTGTGTGAGGCTCTGTATCTGGTGTGTATGGGGCTGTAAGTGAGGCTGTTTGTGAGGCTGCGTGTGGGGTATGTGTGGGGCTGTGTGTGGGGCTGTGCAGGGCTTTCTCTGTCTTCTCGTCCTTCTCAATTTCTCCGCCACCTTCAACACCTTCGTTGACTACTGTATTCTTGTCCACTGCCTCTCCCTTCAGCTGTACCTTCATGGTGCTGTCCATGCTTGGTCTTGTTCCTACCTTTCCCAACATCAGCGATTCATTTTCACTGATGGCTTCTCCTCCAGCCCTCGCACCGGCAAGTGCAGCGTTCCTTTGGTCACCTCCTTTTTAATATCTACATGATCCCGCTTGGTGATACCATCCGAAGATGTAGGGTCACCTTCCTCACCCCAAATTTATCTCGCTGCCTTCACCCTCAACTCCAGGAACACTACTGTCAGACATCAAGTCCTGTATGAGAACTAACTTTCTCCAGTAGAATAATAATAATAATAATCCTTGCATTTGATATAGCGCTTTTGACATCTTCTAGACATCTTGTGGAGTCCTGTAGCTCAGTGGTTAGAGCACTCGCTTTGCAAGCGAGAGACCTGAGTTCAATTCCAGGCAGAGCGAAACCTTGGGCAAGTTTCCTTACTCCACACAGAGCTTAATAATAATCCCTCCAAAACCAAAAACAATAATAAAATTGGCATTTTCAATCTACGACTGTTTGTGGGACATTGCTGTGCGCAATTGGCTGCCGCGTTCGCCCACAAATTTACAGTCAATTCACTTTACAGTGTGTTCTGTGAAGCGCTTTGGGACGTCCTTCCGACGTGAAAAGCGCTATATCAAATGCAAGGATTATTATTATTATTATTATTATTATCTCAAAGCGCTTCACAGAATAGACAGTAAAGTGAATTGACCGTATATTTGTGGGCGAAACCCGACAGCCAATTGTGCACAGCAGTGTCCCACAGACAGTCGTGGATTGAAAATGACCAATTTATTATTGATTTTTTGTTTTGGAGGGATTATTATTAGGCTCTGTGTGGAGTAAGGAAACTTGCCCAAGGTTTCGCCCTCTGCCTGGAATTGAACCCAGGTGTCTCGCTTGCAAAGCGAGTGCTCCAAACACTAAGCTACACGACTCCATGTCGACAAGACTGAGGCCCTCCTGCTTCGCTCCTGTCACTTCAGGCTCTGATAGCAACACTATTCATGGACGCACACTCCACCTCACGGATCCTTGTCCTCACTTTCAAAGCCTCCATGGTCTTGCTCCTCCCTACCTCTTTGACCTGCTAACGCTATATCGACCTATCAGCTCTATCCGCTCGGTGGGTTCCGGCCTGCCCCATGTCTCCGGCACTGCCCACCCCACCATCGGCGGTTCAACATTCAACCTTTCTGCCCCCACCCTCTGGAACTCCATCCGGAGCCACTCTGCCTCGCCTCATTCCTTGCCTCCTTCAAGGCCCGTCTAAAGATTCTCCTCTCCAACTGCGCCTTTGGTCATCCTCCGTCCTCCTTGCCCTCCACCTCTCCTGACTTCAGCCGTCAGCTCGGGTGCAAATCCTTCACTGTGCAGCGCATTGAGACATCCTCCCAACATGAAAGGTGCTGTATAAATGTTATTTGTTGTTATAGCGATGCACTGATACACTGAGGCAGTGGTTACGCTCTGACCACACTTGGTGTGAGTGTGAGCAGCCCACCTCTCCTGTACTCACGTTCCCAGAACATCCTTGAATTCGTACATCTTTTTGATCTCCGTTTTCCTTTTCCACGGTCTGTCCATCTCTCCCACAGCAACTGTTCCTGATATTAGCCAAACCCACAGCTCCTTCTACTGCAAAGAGAGACAGGGTCAGCGTCGCACACACACACAGATAGCCACAGAGAGAGATATACACACACACACACACACACAAGGTTAGTCACACAACAACAAGATTACATTTGTATAGCGCATTTCATGTCGGGAGGACGTCCCAAGGCGCTGGACAGTGTACAGCATTTCAGACCCGAGCTGGGGTCAGGGGAGTAGAAGGGAGGGGACGGGAAGGGGGTGACCAATGGCATGGTTGAAGAGGAGGGTTTTGAGGCGGGACTTGAAGGAGGCTAAGGAGGGGGCGAGGCGGAGTGACTGGGGGATGGAGTTCCAGAGGTTGGGGGCAGAGTGGCTGAAGGCTCTCCCGGCAATGGTGGGGCAGATGGGTTGGGGGACGTGGAGAAGGCCGGAGCCGGCTGAGCGGAGGGAGCGAGCGGGTTGGTAGGAGGTTAGGAAGTCACAGAGGTAGGGTGGGGTGAGGCCATGGAGGGCTTTGTAGGTGAGGACCAGGATCTTGAACTGGATCCTCTGAAGGATAGGGAGCCAATGGAGTCGGGCGAGAATGGGGGAGATTGGGTCACGGAGTTTAGTGCCGGAGAGGACACGGGCTGCAGAGTTATAATAATAATATTATAATAGAGTTCTGGATTATCTGCGGCCTGTGGAGGGAGGAGTTGGGAAGGCCGACAAGCAGAGCATTTGCATAGTCGAGCCTGGAGGTGATGAAGGCGTGAACAAGAGTTTCATTGTCCTGAGGGGTGAGGTAGTGGCGGAGTCGGGCGATGTTACGGAGGTGAGGGAAGGCAGAATGAGTCATGGCTTAGATGTGGAGGAGAAAAGACAGTTGAGGGTCGAGCAAGACACCGAGGTTCCTGACTGGCTGGTGAGGTGTAATGTGCAACCATGGAGGTTGATGCTGCCAGAGCCTGAGGTGCTGAGGTGCTGGTGTGAGCCAATCAGGAGGGCCTCAGTCTTGTTCACATTCAACTGTAGGAAATTTGCCCTCATCCAGGACTTGATGTCCGACAGACAGTCTGTCAGGACAGTGGTGGTCCTGGAGTTGAGGGTGGGGGCAGAAAGATAGAGTTGGGTGTCATCTGCATACATACACAGAGAGATATATACACACACAGTCACACAGAGACAAACACACACACACACACACACACAGACAGTCACAGAGACACACACACAGAGACAGTTACACAGAGATATACGCACACACACAGTCACACGGATACATACACACAAGATTACATTTGTATAGCGCCTTTCATGCCTTTCAGACAGTCACACAGAGATATACACACAGAGGCAATCACACAGAGATATACACACACAGAGAGTCACACACAGAGATATATACACGCACACACAGTCACACAGAGAGATATATACACACACACAGAGTCACACACGCAGGTAGTCACACACACACAGACAGTCAGAGAGATATACACGCAGAGACAGACACACACACACAGGCAATTGGAGAGAGATGTACACACACAGACAGATAGTCACAGAGACACACACAGACAGGTAGTCGCAGAGAGAGACACACAGACAGACAGCCCCAGAGAGAGATATACACACACATGCAGTCACACACACACACACACACACACACACACACACACACACATACATAGGCAGACAGTCACAAAGAGATATATACACAGAGACAGACAACCACACAGTGAGAGAGACACACAGTCACAGAGAGAGAGACACAGTACCAGAGAGAGAGAGACACACACACACACAGTCAAAGAGAGAGAGACACACACAAACAGTCACAGAGGGAGACACACAGAGAGACAGTTAGAGAGAGAGAGACACAGACAGACTGTCACAGAGATTCACACACAGACAGTTATAGAGGCACACACAGAGACAGACACACACAGAGAGACACACCCAGAGAGATAGTCACAGAGATGGACATAGAAACACACATCCACAGTCACAGAAAGAGACACACACACAGTCACAGAGAGACACGCACAGTCACAGAGAGAGACACACACACAGTCACAGAGGCAGTCACAGAGAGAGAGAGACACACACAGTCACAGAGAGAGACACACACACAGTCACAGAGAGAGACACACACACAGTCACAGAGGCAGTCACAGAGAGAGAGAGACACACACAGTCACAGAGAGAGAGACACACACAGTCACAGAGGCAGTCACAGAGAGAGAGAGACACACACAGTCACAGAGAGAGACACACACACAGTCACAGAGAGAGAGACACACACAGTCACAGAGACAGTCACAGAGAGAGAGACACACACACAGTCACAGAGAGAGAGAGAGAGACACACACACAGTCACAGAGAGAGAGAGACACACACAGTCACAGAGAGAGACACACACACAGTCACAGAGGCAGTCACAGAGAGAGAGACACACACAGTCACAGAGAGAGAGAGACACACACAGTCACAGAGAGAGAGACACACACAGTCACACAGAGAGAGACACACACACAGTCACAGAGACAGTCACAGAGAGAGAGACACACACACACAGTCACAGAGAGAGAGAGAGACACACACACACGGTCACAGAGAGAGACAGTCACACACACACAGTCACAGACACACACAGTCACAGAGAGAGACACACACACAGTCACAGAGAGACGCACACAAACACAAAGAGACAGTCACAGAGAGAGAGACACACACACAGTCACAGAGGCAGTCACAGAGAGAGAGACACACACAGTCACAGAGAGAGACACACACACAGTCACAGAAAGAGAGACACACACAGTCACAGAGAGAGACACACACACAGTCACAGAGAGACGCACACAAACACAAAGAGACAGTCACAGAGAGGTGCACACAGACAGTCACACTCAGAGAGACACACAGACACACACTCACATACAGACGACTCTCACATAGACACTCACACACACACTCTCACCCAGACACACTCACCCAGACACACTCACATAGATACTCTCACACACAGACACACACACACTCTCACCCAGACACACTCACACAGACACTCTCACACACAGACACACACACACTCTCATACACACACACTCACACACAACCTCACACACGTACACTCACACACACACACACACACATAGACACTCACACACATACACTTTCACACAGACACACACAGACACTCTCACACACACATACACTCACAGACAGACACACACATACACACTAATACACAGACACTCTCACACACACATTCACACATAGACACTCACACACACACTCACACACATACACTCACACTCTCACAGACAGATGCACACACTCACACACAGACACACACACACAGACACTCACATTGTCACAGACAGACACACACACACTCTCACAGACAGACACACACACACACACACACTCTCACAAACAGACACTCTCACACACAGACACTCACACACACTGTCACACACAGACACTCTCACACACTGTCACACACACACTGTCACACACTGTCACACACAGATACTCTCACACACACTGTCACACAGAGACACACTCTCACACACACACTCACACACACTGTCACACATAGATACTCGCACACACTGACACTCACACACACACTGTCACGCACACTCTCACACACACTGTCACATACAGATACTCAGACACACTGTCACACACACACACTCTCACACACACACAGACACACAAACACAGACTGTCTCACACACACAGAGACTGTCACACACTCACACAGACTGTCACACACTCACACGGACTGTCACACACTCACACAGACTGTCACACACTCACACAGTCTGTCACACACTCACACAGACTGTCACACACTCACGCAGACTGTCACACACTCACACAGACTGTCACACACTCACACAGACTGTCACACACACACACACAGACTGTCACACACACACTCACACAGACTGTCACACACTCACACAGACTGACACACACTCACACAGACTGACACACACTCACACAGACTGACACACACTCACACAGACTGACACACACTCACACAGACTGTCACACACACACTCACACAGACTGTCACACACTCACACAGACTGTCACACACTCACACAGACTGTCACACACACACACAGACTGTCACACACTCACACAGACTGTCACACACTCACACAGACTGTCACACACTCACACAGACTGTCACACACTCACACAGACTGTCACACACTCACACAGACTGTCACACACACACACCACACACCACACAGACTGTCACACACACCACACAGACTGTCACACACTCACACAGACTGTCACACACTCACACAGACTGTCACACACTCACACAGACTGTCACACACTCACACAGACTGTCACACACTCACACAGACTGTCACACACTCACACAGACTGTCACACACACACACACAGACTGTCACACACTCACACAGACTGTCACACACTCACACAGACTGTCACACACTCACACAGACTGTCACACACTCACACAGACTGTCACACACTCACACAGACTGTCACACACTCACACAGACTGTCACACACTCACACAGACTGTCACACACTCACACAGACTGTCACACACTCACACAGACTGTCACACACTCACACAGACTGTCACACACTCACACAGACTGTCACACACTCACACAGACTGTCACACACTCACACAGACTGTCACACACACACACAGACTGTCACACACACAGACTGTCACACACACACACAGACTGTCACACACACACACAGACTGTCACACACTCACACAGACTGTCACACACACACACACACACAGACTGTCACACACACACACAGACTGTCACACACTCACACAGACTGTCACACACTCACACAGACTGTCACACACTCACACAGACTGTCACACACACACACACACCACACAGACTGTCACACACACACACAGACTGTCACACACTCACACAGACTGTCACACACACACACACACACAGACCGTCTGACGCTCTGCAGCGCTGTGGGATTCGCAGTGATACGGAGCTGTCGCGAGGAATGTGGCGCTGCTCTGAACTCCGCCTCAGAACCAACACTGTCTGTAGCCATTGCGCTGTTTGTTGAAGCTCTTACCTGAAGCTCTGTGTGTGTTGTGTGTGTGTGTTGTGTATTGTGTATGTGTTGTGTGTGTTGTGTGTGTGTGTTGTGTATGTGTTGTGTGTGCTGTGTATGTTGTGTGTGTGTGTTGTGTATGTGTTGTGTGTGCTGTGTATGTTGTGTGTGTGTGTTGTGTATGTGTTGCGTGTGCTGTGTATGTTGTGTGTATGTTGTGTGTGTGTTGTGTGTGTATGTTGTGTGTGTGTATGTTGTGTGTGTGTGTTGTGTATGTGTTGTGTGTGCTGTGTATGTTGTGTGTGTGTTGTGTGTGTGTGTTGTGTGTGTGTTGTGTGTGCTGTGTATGTTGTGTGTTGTGTGTGTATGTTGTGTGTTGTGTGTGTGTTGTGTGTGTATGTTGTGTGTGTATGTTGTATGTTGTGTGTGTGTATGAGCCGCTTCTTTCACTGTGTGGCTCTCAGCGCTGCGGCGGCTCTGTGTCTCAGTCCCTCCCTCTCTCTCTGCCCAAACTTCACAGCGCTGCGTCTACTTCCCTCTGCAGTGTGTGTGTGTGTGTGTCAGTGTCTGTGTGTGTGTGTTTATTATGCCTGTGTGTGTGTGTGTGTGTCAGTGTCTGTGTGTGTGTGCGTGTTACTGTGTGCATGTCTGACTGTGTGTCTCAGTGTGTGTGTGTGTGTGTGTGTGTGTTACTGTGTGCATGTCTGTCTGTGTGTCTCAGTGTGTGTGTGTGTGTGTGTGTGTTACTGTGTGCATGTCTGTCTGTGTGTCTCAGTGTGTGTGTGTGTTACTGTGTGCATGTCTGTCTGTGTGTCTCAGTGTGTGTGTGTGTTACTGTGTGCATGTCTGTCTGTGTGTCTCAGTGTGTGTGTGTGTCTGTGTATGTGTGTGTGTTACTTTGTGCATGTCTGTCTGTGTGTCTCAGTGTGTGTGTGTGTTACTGTGTGCATGTCTGTCTGTGTGTCTCAGTGTGTGTGTGTGTTACTGTGTGCATGTCTGTCTGTGTGTCTCAGTGTGTGTGTGTGTCTGTGTATGTGTGTGTGTTACTGTGTGCATGTCTGTCTGTGTGTCTCAGTGTGTGTGTGTGTGTTACTGTGTGCATGTCTGTCTGTGTGTCTCAGTGTGTGTGTGTGTCTGTGTATGTGTGTGTGTTACTTTGTGCATGTCTGTCTGTGTGTCTCAGTGTATGTGTGTGGTGTGTTACTTTGTGCATGTCTGTCTGTGTGTCTCAGTGTGTGTGTGTTACTGTGTGCATGTCTGTCTGTGTGTCTCAGTGTGTGTGTGTGTTACTGTGTGCATGTCTGTCTGTGTGTCTCAGTGTGTGTGTGTGTCTGTGTGTGTGTGTGTTACTGTGTGCATGTCTGTATGTGTGTCTCAGTGTGTGTGTGTGTCTGTGTGCGTCTGTGTGGGTGTCTTAGTGTGTGTGCATGTCTGCCTGTGTGTCTCAGTGTGTGTGAGTGTCTCAACAACAACAACAACAAGATTCCATTTATAAAGCGCCTTTCACGTCAGGAGGACGTCCCAAGGCGCTGCACAGTTGGGTCATGACCCGAGCAGGGGGGAAATGGTCAGGGTGAGGGGAGGGAAGGGAGGGAGCGAGGAGGGGGGAAATGGTCAGGGGGAGGGGAGGGAGGGAGCGAGGAGGGGGGAAATGGTCAGGGTGAGGGGAGGGGAGGGAGGGAGCGAGGAGGGGGGAAATGGTCAGGGTGAGGGGAGGGAAGGGAGGGAGCGAGGAGGGGGAAGAGAGTCGAGAGGGGAGCTGAAGGCACGGTCAAATGCCTTTTGAAAATCTAGATAAACTACATCTACTGTACTACCTTCATCCACCCTCTCAGTCACTTCATCCAAAAATTCTATTAGGTTTGTCAGACACAATCTGCCTTTAACAAATCCGTGTTGACTGTCCTTTATTAAACCATATTTTTCTAAGTGAGAATTTATATTGTCCCGGATTATAGTCTCCAGAAGTTTCCCTCCTACTCATGTTAGACTGACTGGCCTGTAGTTCTCAGGTTTATCCTTCTGCCCCTTTTTGTACAGGGGCGTAACATTTGCAACCTTCCAGTCCTTTGGCACCACTCCAGTGTCCAAAGAGGATTGAAAGATTGTGGCCAGAGTCTCCGCTATTTCCACCCTTGCTTCCCTCAGTAACCTAGGATGCATCCCATCCGGACCAGGTGACTTATCTATGGTGAGCACCAACAGCCTTTTTAGTACCTCCTCTCCGTTGATTTTTCATCGAATCATAGAATCATACAGCACAAAAAGAGGCCATTCGGCCCATCGAGTCTGTGCCAGCTCTTTGAAAAGAACAATGTAATGTCAACCCCACTCCCCAGCTCTTTCCCCATAACCCTACAAACCCGTCCTCCTCAAATACCCGTCCACCGCGTTTTTAAAAGTTGTTATTGAATCGGCCTCGACCGCCCTTTCAGGCAATGCGTTCCAGATTCGAAAAACTCGCTGCGTGAAAAAATGTCTTCTCACCTCCCCTCTGCTTCTTTTAGAAACCATTTTAAATCTGTGACCTCGAGTTACCGACACACCGACCAGTGGAAACAGTTTTTCCCTTTCTAACCTATCAAATCCCCTCATGATTTTGAAGACCTCTATTAGGTCTCCTCGTAACCTTCTTTGCTCCAATGAGAATAATCCTCGCCTCTCTAGCCTTTCCTCATAATCAAGGTCCCTCATTCCTGGTACCATTCTTGTAAATCTCCTCTGCACCCTTTCCAATGCCTTAACATCCTTCCTATAGTGCGGTGCCCAGAACTGGGCGCAGTATTCTAACTGAGGCCTAACCAGTGTTTTATATAAATTAATCATAACCTCTGACTCTTGTACTCTATGCCCCTATTTATAAAGCCTAGTATCCCATATGCCCTTTTTACAGCCTTATCTACCTGTCCTGCCACCTTCAAGGATTCATTTACCTGCACCCCCAGGTCTCTCTGTTCCTTCACCCCCCTTAACATTGTATTACCAGCCTGTATTGCCTCCCCTCATTCTTTCTACCAAAATGCATTACCTCGCATTTCTCCACATTGAAATTCATCTGCCATGTGTCTGCCCATTTTACCATTCTGTCTATGTCTTCCTGCAGTTGGCTCCTATCCTTCTCACTGTTTACCACCCGACCTAACTTTGTGTCGTCCGCAAACTTGGAAATGGTACTTGCTATACCCAAGTCCAGATCATTTATGTATATTAAGAAGAGCAGTGGTCCTAATGCCGATCCCTGGGGAACGCCACTGTACACTTCCCTCCAGTCAGAAAAGCAGCCGTTCACCACAACTCTCTGCTTTCTGGCTCCCAGCCGGTTCTGGATCCGCTGCCACTGTTCCTTTTATACTATGGGCTTCTATTTTTCTTACAATTCTTTTATGTGGCACTTTGTCAAATGCCTTTTGAAAGTCCATATAAACTATATCTACTGCACTACCTTTATCCACACTCTCCGTTACCTCATCGAAAAATTCTATCAGATTTGTTAGACAAGATTTGCCTTTAACAAATCCGTGTTGGCTGTCCTAATTAACCCATATTCTTCTAAGTGAAGATTTATTCTGTCCCGGATTACAGTCTCCAGGAGTTTCCCCACTACTGGAGTCCTGTAGCTCAGTGGTTAGAGCACTCGCTTTGCAAGTGAGAGACCTGAGTTCAATTCCAGGCAGAGGGCGAAACCTTGGGCAAGTTTCCTTACTCCACACACAGAGCCTAATAATAATCCCTCCAAAACAAAAACAATAATAAATTGGTCATTTTCAATCTATGACTGTTTGTGGGACATTGCTGTGTGCAATTGGCTGCCGCGTTCGCCCACAAATATACAGTCAATTCATTTTACAGTATATTCTGTGAAGCGCTTTGGGACGTCCTCCCGACGTGAAAAGCGCTATATCAAATGCAAGGATTATTATTATTATTATTACTGATGTTAGGCTGACAGGCCTGCAGTTCCCAGGTTTGTCCTTCTGTCCCTTTTTGTACAGGGGAGTCACATTGGCCACTCTCCAGTCCTCTGGCACCACTCCTATGTCCAATGAAGATTGAAAAATTGTAGCCAAAGCTTCCGCCATTTGTACCCGTGCCTCCCATAGTACCGTTGGCTTCATCCTGTCCGGACCGGGCGAATTATCTACCCTCAGCGCAGTCAACCTTTTCAGTACTTCCTTTCTGTTTATACTTATCCTATCCATTTTCTCTACCCTCTCCTCTGATACTGCAGCATTTGGTGCATCCACTTCTTTTGTGAAGACAGATGCAAAGTACTCGTTCAATACATCAGCTATGCCCTCTGTCTCCACAATAAGATTTCCCCCTTGGTCCTTAATTGGCCCCACCCTACCTTTGACTAACCTTTTTTTTCTTGATATGTTTGTAAAATATTTTAGGATTCCCTTTAATGTTACCCGCTAACTTTTTTTTGTATAATTTTTTAGCCCCTCTTATTTCCTTTTTCAGTTGTCTTCTGTACTTCCTATATTCTATTTGGTTGTCTTCTGTATCTTGGGTTTGACATTTATCATACGCCTCCTTTTTCTGCTTCATTGTAGACACAATTACCTTCGTCATTCAGGGTGGTTTGGATGCCCTACTTTTCTTTTGTGGGAATATATTTGTTCTGTCCCCGAGCTATCTCATCCTTGAAGACTTCCCACTGCTCTTTAGTTGTTTTACCTGCCAATCTTTCTTTCATATCCAATTTCTGTTCACACGCCTGTGATATTGTGGCATTGGTTGCATCACCGTTTTTGAAGATATTTGCAAAGTACTTATTTAGTACATCAGCCTCTGCCTCAACAAGAAGATTTCCACTGGGGTCCCTAATTGGACCCACCCTACCTTTGACTAACCTTTTACTCTTGATATGCTTATAAAATACCTTAGGGTTCCCTTTTATGTTTCCTGCTAATCTTTTCTCGTACAATCTCTTCGCCCCTTTTTCTTCCCTTGTCACTTCTCCTCTGTACTTCCTATATTCTATTTGATTATCCTGTGTGTTTTGGACCTGACATTTGTCATTAGCCTCCTTTTTATGTTTTATTTTAGTCATCCAGGGAGGTTTGACTGTCTTACCTTTCCCCTTTGTGGGAATGTATTTGCTCTCTCCCCAAATTATCTCCTCCTTGAAGGCTTCC